TTTAATACTCTGTATCTTTCTTAATATCAACATTTTATTAAAACAGGTTAGCATAAATCGTAACAATTTTTCTTTGTTTCTGTACAATTACTTAAGGACCACCCTGTACATATATAATATATTACAATTCCGTGCTTCAATTTTTAGCAATATTATTCTATCTGAGATTTGAATCACACCTAGCACTGATTTTTAATAGTGTTGCTTATGATGAAAGCTACTCCGTATCGATGATTAGTTTTGTCTCCTCCAGTGTAATAAATATTGTGGTTATTTATTGGCACCTCTCGCTTTCCTGACCATCCTGATCATTGTACATCGATAACCTCAAATATATCTATATTTAGCCTCTCTTTATTTTTAATAACATTATATAGTTTTCCAGGCTGATACATACTTCCTACATTCCAGGTACCTCACTATTTTGATCTGAGAGGGTTGAATATTTTTTTTTGTTTTTTTTTGTGCAAGGGTTTCGTATGTTGACGACCGAGGAGGCCTTGCGTTCTAGTGGTTGTTGTGTCCTGCCGGATTTTGGCCTCCCATTACCATAATGTCTCTTGGGCAAATAGTGCTAGCCATTATAATTTATACTAGAGATGTCATCAGGGACCTTTAATGCAATGGTTTTTTCTGCATTCTGACGCCATTGACCACTTTCTTGATTCTTCCGCCTTCTAGACCAATTTCTCAGTCTCAGGACAACAGAATAAATCCTTTTAGTTTTAATCTTGGGAGTGGACAACATTTGTTTGAAGGACGTGTTTAGCTTAGATGTGGTATCTTCAAAGGTAACAGTTGGTATAGGTCCCATAATCTTCATTGTCTGATGTGTTATAAATCGAGTAATTTGAAGAATCATTACTATTAGAGTTAATATGTTTGTATTTAGAAGAACGTTAAGAAAAAGTAAAGTTTTAATTCTGTTAGCTGAAGATTAGTTCATCGGTTCTGCAGAAGTACTTTGTTCACTTTCTGTATGAGTCTTGCTCATTTTTATCATTTTCAAGCTCGGTTAGGCATAAAGGTACATAAGCGCTCTCTGGAATCACTGATGGATTAAAAGTTTAATTACAGTAGCTTCAAATCCGGAGATAATATTTTCTGGTGCCATAGCCTTAGCCCAAACAGAAAATATTTGAAAAGACTGTGAGTCTTATCGAGCGTTTAGTTATTCATCCACAAACGAAGAATCCCATCATCCCAAAACGATTGGAAAGATTTGAATACAGACTTATTCATAGGCTGTAGTTCCTGGGTTGTATTGGTAAGCAGACAAAACAGAGTAATGTACTTTTCAGCAGCATTCAAAGCACCATCAAAAATCAACAAAGTATTTCTGATTGAAGTAGCTGACCTTTAAATAATATAATTGGTGGTATGTACTGACTACTAGCGTTGCCACACGACACGATTGTCACGTTTTCAGCATGCTCTGGTGCCACTATATGCACTCTCTTTATCCCTTTTTGATAAAAACTTCCTGTTGGTGAAGCAGTCTCAAACAAAAGCCTTTTTCACCGATGTTGTATATTAGTTTGAGGCTTTCCGATAACATTTAATTCCTGCATGATTATCTTTAACTTCTTAAAATAATCAGTGCCAATCACTTTGTTAAGTTTATTTGCTCTTGCTGGATTTAAATTTTGTGTTTTATGCCTAGCCACATTAGGGTGGCGACTCAAAAATAGTCTCTACCACTCTTACGCCCACCTTTTTGTTGCATTGGGTTAAAAGTATGGGGAATATTGTTTTATATAGCATATAACCTAGAAACTTAAAACTATTATAAATTTATCCTCAACTACAGGCGATTGACTGGTGTTGCGCTCATCTGTCCAGTGTGAATACTTTTAGAAATAAAAGCTGTTGGCCTTATTAGGGTCATGGCCTTATTTGGGTCATTAATATAATTAAAAAAATTAGTATTTCTTGGGTTTAGGTCAGTGATATAGGAGACAAGTAATATTAAAGTTGAAACGAGGCGCCTTTGTCAAAATTCTAAAATGTACTAAATTTTAGGAACAAAAAGTTATTATATTATATTATATTATATTACATATATATTATATATGTAATATTATATATATATATATATATATATATATATATATATATATATATATATATATATATATATATATATTTATATATATATATATATATATATATATATATATATATATATATATATATATATATATATATATATATATATATATATATATATATATATATATATATATATATATAATATTACATATATATTATATATGTAATATTATATATATATATATATATATATGTATATATATATTTATATATATATATATATATATATATATATATATATATTTTATATATATATATATATATATATATATATATATATATATATATATATAGATCCAACAAAGAAAAAAAAATAGATACAAAGAAATGGAATGTACCGAAGGAAGCTGAGAGATGCAACTGCTGTAAAACAGTACTGAGAAAATATTACCAATAGGTTAAGAAATCCAAGCGAAATAGGAACAGAAACTTGTACCCGAAAAAATTACTGGTTTGAAAATGAATGCCAAGACGCAACACAGAAAAAAAATGAAGCTTATGCAAAAATGCTTACCTGCCGGACTAGAACAATTGTAGAGAATTACCAGACAAAGAGAAGAGAAGAAAAGAAAATACACAGAATGAAGAAACGAAACCACTTAAAAAAGGAACTTCAATATATAGAAAACCTCAACAGAGAGAAAGAATTCAGAACATTCTATAAGAAAGTTGACATCAACAGAAAAGAATTCAAGGCAAACACAAATCAATGTAGAAGTTTGAATGGCGATCTATTAACAACAAGAACAGACGTACTAAATCGATGAACGGAAAGCTGTGAGGTAAGCGGAGCAGACGAGAGGGAGAAGAATCCACCAACGATCCTAGAAGTTAAAGACGCTGTCCATAAACTAGCCAGAAACAAATCACCCGGAATAGATAATCTTCCAGCGGAATTATATAAAGAAGGTGGCCACGATATCATAATAGCGCTACAGCAGCTTATAAAAGAAATATGAATACAGAAGTCCCTCCCCAGTGATTGGAATATTGGAATACTTTGCACCATACACAAAAAGAGAGATATCTTTGAATGCTCTAACTATCGAGGAATTGCGCTCCTAAATGCAGCGTATAAAATATTCTCCAATATACTATGCCATCATATGGCACCGTATGCAGAGCAAATAATAGGACAATACCAGGCTGGTTTCAGAGGTGGTAAATCAACAATTCATCATATTTAAACCCTGAGACAAATTCTAGAGAAAACACTGGAATACGGTGTAGACACGCACCACATATTTATAGACTACAAGGCAGCCTACGACTCGGTAAATAGAAGAGAATTGTTAAAAGCAATGATAGACCTGGGAGTACCAAATCAGTTGGAAGGTCTAACCAAACTAACCCTTGAAAAAGTTGAATGCAGAGTACGAGTCCAGGGGGAACTCTCTGAACCTTTTAATACAAATAACGGGCTACGTCAGGGAGACCCACTCTCCTGTATACTATTCAATCTAGCTCTGGAAAAAGTAATACGTACGTCACAAATTACAACTACCGGTTCAATATATAACAAATCTGTGCAAATCCTAGCATATGCTGATGATATCAATATTGTTGGGAGAACGGAAAACGCAGCACGAGAGGCGTATGTAGCACTAAAGGAAGCGGCTACAAAAATGGGTTTAATAATAAACATTAATAAAACGAAATACATGAAAGTAGGTCCGCAACCACAAATACGACGGCCACTTCTTATAGAAAACGACGTCATCGAAGCAGTTAACGAATTTGTATACCTGGGAACGCTCGTCAATACTGAAAATGACATAACCGCAGAGATAAACCGCAGAATTTGCACGGCTAATAGATGCTATTTTGGGCTTAATCTCCTTTTTAAATCTACAGCTATATCAAGAAATACAAAAGTAAAACTTTACAAAACAATAATACGCCCAGTCCTAACATATGGTTCAGAAACCTGGACTTTAACAAAAAGCAATGAAAACATGTTAGGATGTTTCGAAAGAAAAATATTGAGGCGAATCTATGGAGCGGTAAATGAAAATGGTGTCTGGAGAAGACGGTACAACTTCAAACTCTATAGAATATACCAGCAATCAGATATCGTAAAACACATTAAGATAGGACGTCTGAGGTGGGTAGGCTATGTAATGCGGATGGAGCGGATGGAGCAAACCGATCCAGCTAGAAAAACGCTCCTTGATAGACCTATTGGTCAAAGAAGAAGAGGAAGACCCAGAACAAGATTTCTAGATAACATAGACCAAGATATGAGAAATATGGAAATACGTGCTTGGCGGAGGAAGGCGATGGATAGGGACGACTGGAAGAGAATTCTTGGGAAGACTAGGACCTACACAGGGTTGTAAAGACAGAATGATGATATATATATATATATATATATTTTATCATCATTCTGTCTTTACAACCCTGTGTAGGTCCTAGTCTTCCCAAGAATTCTTATATACATAAAGAATATATAGATATATAAAGTGCGTGTCGCTATATAGAATATATATATATATATATATATATATATATATATATATATATATATATATATATATATATATATATATATATATTCTATATAGCGACACGCACTTTTTTGTCTCATTTTTTGCGCTTGGGTTGTCATGGCATATTTATTAAATAAAATTTAAGTAAGTTATATAAGGTGTTCAAAATGCCTTCCCAAGACGGAAGGATTTCGAAAACTTGTAGGCAGCATTTGTACAACAAAATTTAGACAATAAAAGTGTCAATATTTTTATGTAGCACTTGAATTGCCACTTCCATTTTTTAGTTCATAGCCTTTTATTTTTAATACTTATACAAATCTTTTAGTTACCTATACGATAGTAGGATAGAAATATGATAATAAATACAATCAACTTTCTAATTATATTAATTGGATTATGTATAAAGTTTATCAAAAATTTTTGAAGGGAGTGTCATAAAACTATTAAAGAGGTGCAGGGGAAAGTATTTTCATTTATCTCTTGAAGACCTGCAACATGTGTACATATACATTTCAAGTGTAATGAGGTTATTGCAAATTATTATTATAATAGACTGGTAATGAACTTGACTTCCTTATATAAATTTCTCATCAATCAGATTCAACTTTCATTGCACGAATCACAATGCATTAAATTACTCTTTAAAGTGTTTTGTACTTTTGTGAGTAATAGTATGCAGATATACTATTATATTATTTTCACCTGCAAACAATTAGAAAGACTTTAAGGATATTTGTATCTGACAAATTCATTGTATAAACTATTTTGTTTTAATTTTTTTTTATATACATCTACTCGTATATATATACGAGGGACAGTTAACTCATACTCATCGAGCAATAAGACAAAAGAGGGAATGTAAAGGTAGTGGGGGTAAACATATTGATAGACAGGAAGTGCTATTTTGAGAGGCCACTTTAAACAAAGAAAGAGAATCTCTTTCCTTGTTTAAGAAATCAAATTTAGTTGGGTTATGTTATTGTTGATGTTCAATGACGTATAATATATAGACTAAGCGGTCCCCTATTCTCGCTATATAATCGGGTCTCCAAAAGATCTCTGCTCAAGGTTGAAGATATGTTTACCAGTACAGCGGCGTGCTCATTTAAATGTTAATGACAATAATTATTTTTTTAATTAAAATTAAATATTTATGATTTCTTTTTGTTCCCGTCTATAAGAGAAATAATTATTTTGATAAAATAGTATGGCATTTTACTAGCATAGTAAGTAAATAACTCTCAACAATTTAAAATAAAATTTGCTTGTCATATAAAATATGTAAACACACAAAATGGAGAAAATGTTTTCATACGTCCATGATGTTTTCAAACACAAGATCAACTTCGTGATGCTTCGTCACCGTTGTTCGGTGGCTTCGTAAGAAATCATGAACTTCGTGCATCTTCGTATCAAAACAATAAACAATAACAAAGGTTTTCATGTTGTGGACACTTTTTAAAGCGTTCACCGGGTCTATATATTATACGTCATTGTTGATGTTATTGTTTGTCAAAACTGTCACATGAAAGCTTATTTATATTTTCTATTGAAGTTTTTTAACAATTGTTTAACATTTTAGACTATTATCGTTATTAATTAATTAAAACTTTATTGTGTTCTAGTGTTAAAAAAAGTATTTTAATAAATAAATAGATAAATATATAATATAAAATATTATGTAATATAAAATAAATAAATAGACAAAATTAGAACCCCTACACCACTGTATAATTATTGTCAAGTGTCATGAAATCAGAGGCTACTTTTTTGGTCTTCTTTTCATAACGATTAGATTCCCTCTTTTGTCTTATTGCTCGATGCTCATACTATAAGTATATATACGGCTAGAAGAACAGTGGGAGAGAGATTTTTTTTTATTTAGAAAAGGTTGTTGTTTGCATCACGGAGCAGAGAGGTAAAGATAATGATTGGATATGTAAATGGGAGAATAGGGGAAGAGTATAGTTTGGATATAGGGATTAGAAGGAAGAGAGTACTTTGGTATTTTAGAACCGTTAAGAACTTCTAAGGACAAAATTTCCAATGCTCATGAAAGGAGAATTATATGACTTTGTGAGGAAAATGATACCGTAGTTTTAAATTGTAAGACTATAGGAGATCATAAGGGAGAATCTACTTTTGTAAGTTCTTTTGGTAGCTCTTTAATGGATTTGGCTCGCTTTTAAGAGAATAGGTGCAGAGATTGGGGGATATCTCAGTAGGTTGCAACTTATACTACGAATAATCGTGGAATTTAAGATAATGAGGGATCAGTGACAAGAGCATAATGAGGACATTCTGTCGTAACTAAGTGAATAAAACAAGGTGAAATAAATGTTGAAAATAACACAGGCTGTCCAGAAATTTGCCTGACAAATGAAGACCGGAGATTGCTTAGACAATTTATGACAATTTAAATCAGTTCACCTAGTCTGAAAATGTTTCTTAAGGAAGCTAGAGCTCTTTGAAAATGGCGCCTTATAATTAGTTTTTTTTAATACTTCCAGAACGCTTGAATCCATACTTGAATTGCGAATTTCTAGTACCGTTTTGGGTTGGTTAACGGAAATTTTAACGCATAACTTTATTGTCTTTACCTTTTAAGCATTCGTGATAGTAGATTATTAAATTTTCAGGTATTCTAGTAGTAAAAAGTACGTATACTTTAAGTCGGTTGGAAACACCGTTTTCTAGAAAAATCAAGTAGGAAATTTTTCGTCTTTTATCGTAAATATTAAATTAATAGGTACCTTAACTAATTTTATAATTTTTTATTGTTTTATTGTAAACAATTCGTAAGAGAGTTTAAGAAAAGAATCAAAAAGTCAAATTAAAACCAAATTTTATTTAAAGAGTTTTAAAAACAAACTATTTATTATGGTGGAACGAAACTAACACAAAAGAACAAGTATCAAAGTAGATAGTTACAAAAGATTATCGATATTGATTACCATTAGCCTTTTTGCATAAATTTGACCTTTTCCTTAGAGAATGCCGATTTCTTGCAAACATTTCAAAGTTGTTTATAACTTCGTTGCAAGCATCTTTTATCCTTAGCTAGAGTTGTGCACGATTTTGTATCGGAATGGAATAAACAAATGTTTTTATTTATCCCTAAACACAATAATCGCAAGGGTTGAAATCCGGTGACCTTGCTGGCCAATCAAATGGACCACCTCGTTCAATTTAGTGGTCTTCTTAGTTATTATCAAGAAAGTCTCGTACATCCTGCTAAAGTAGACCAGACAGCCGTCATGTAAAAAACCATAAGGTTTGGCGAATATTTAAAGGCACATTGTCTAACAAATCATGTAAAACATTTTGCAGGAAATTTAAGTAATTAGCACCATTTAAACGACCAACGAACAATATAAGATATGCTGACGACACGGTGATCCTTGCCAGTGCCATAGACGAATTACAACAAGTAATGAAAAGACTTTATTCAGTTAGTGAGGAATACGACCTGAGCCTCAACTTCAAGAAGACAAAGTGGATGCTGATAAGCAAAAAGCAACAACCTGCTCGACAATTACGGATAAGTAACATACTAATTGACCATGTAGAATCTTATGTGTACCTTGGCACCAACGTAAATGCAAAATGAGAACAGACCATAGAAATTAAGGCAAGAATAGAACGAGCTAGAGTAGCATTTAGCAATATGAAAAAGCTCCTCATAAGCAAGGATGTCTCTCTTCCCCTAAAACTACGTATAGTTAAAGGCTACATTTTTCCGATCTTGCTGTATGGCGTGGAGGCCTGGACGCTGACGGAGACGCTAACGAGAAAACTAGAAGCATTCGAAATGTGGGTGTACCGACGCATTCTTCGTATATCCTGGACCGAACATGTCACCAACATAGAGGTACTCCAAATAATCGGAAAAGAGAAAGAAATCGTGAATACAATTAAACAAAGAAAGCTTGAATATCTAGGCCACATACTGGGGCACGATAAGTACCGTCTGCTACAATTGATTGTCCAGGGAAAAATAGACAGTAAGCGAGGGCCAGGCTGGAGAAGACACTCGTGGCTCCAAAATCTCCGGAAGTGGTTCAGGCTCACATCGGTCGAACTATTCAGAAGCGTCGCAAACAAGATCAAAATTGCCATGTTAATAGCCAACGTTCGCAACGGACAGAGCACTTGAAGAAGAAGAAACGACCAAGCAATTCCACAGGCCCAAGTAGATAATCGTCAACTATCCAGATGGTTATGCTAAACCCATGCTGATGCTTAATTCTTGAACAACGTGGAGATTGTCACCAATCTACGAATAATATTGTGCACTTACTAAACGTAAGGTATACTTATGTTGACATTAGTGCAAAATCACGCCAAGTTAGTGCAAAAAATATTAATTTTACTTGTATGACGAAAAACCAAAAAATTTTTAAACCAATTTTTCTAGAAAACGGTGTATACTATCGTTTTAGAGTAAGAGTACCTTTTAGTACTATATTTGATTTTTTTTAAATTGACAATTAATAAAATCAATTCAACTCTGGAGAATAAATAATTGTATCAGTTTTTTATTCTTTTAACAGAAGCGTTCTAGAGGTATTTAAAAAACTAATTTCAAGGCGCCATCTTCAAAGAGCTCTAGCCCCCTTAGGAAGCATTTTCGGATTAGGTGAAATAGGCTAAATTGTCTTAAAATTATCTGACAAAACTCCGGTCTTTGTTTCTCAGGAGAGTTTCTGGATACCCTGTATAGAGGAACGTATTTAGAGGCTGGACGTAAACAACTTTCTGAGGCCAGAAAGTTTTTTTGGGTAGATATAGAGAGGTATGGTTTGATGAGAATGTGGAAATTTAAGAAACAGGTTCAGTATACAAAGAGCTGCAGAAAAAAATTCCAACACTTCCAACATCCTTCAATCACTCAGCCAACTATGAGCTATGCAAAAATTGTTGCAGGAAGAGATAATAGAAATATATATATATATATATATATATATATATATATATATATATATATATATATATATATATATATATATATAATATATATTATATATATATATATATATATATATAGCAATAACAATCGATAACAATCTCTCAACATATACAAAATAATCTAGAATTATTAGTACATAAGTTAATGGAAAGAATGGATCAGATGTTTGATCTCATAATGTATCTAATATATAACTTTAACCTTTAACTAAACTAAAGATGTGCTGTTGGAATGCCAATGGCTGAACCACTCATTTCCACGAAGTTAAAGCATTTATTTAGTCTCATCTAGATGTTATATTTATTTCCGACACATGACTAATAAGAGCCATTTCTATATTCCCAAATATTCAACCGATGTACTCAACATCCATTAGGTAAATCCCACGGAGGTACGGCAATAATTATAAGGAATAACATTAAACATCATGAAACAAATAAAATTAAAAAAGTTAGCATCCAATCCAGGTTAGCACCAGGCATATCTATTTTATCTGCTGTTTATTGCCCACCAAATAAAATAAATAAAGTTGATAATTTTACTAAATACTTTAACTTTAATGCTCGAACACCGTTTCATTACTGCCGGCGATTATAATGCCAAACATCATAAATGGATCTCCAGAATTATGACCTCATGTGGACTAGAATTATTAAAAAGTATTAATGAGAATAATTTAATTCCTCTCTACTGGAGAGCCTACGTATTGGTCCACTGATAGACAAAAAACTCCTGATCTTATGGATTTTGCTATAGTAATATGAATATCACTTACTTTCCTCCAAATGTTTCCTTCATCTGACCTCTCATTAGATCATTCCCCTTTCTTTATAGATCTTCAAAGCCAAATTCGTAACTGCCCTAATCATTTAACACTGTTTAATAAAATAACAAACTGAAATAGATATAGAGAAGAAATAAAAACATCCATTAACTTAAACTTGCTTCTTAAAAGCGATAGCGATATAAAAAATTCAGTTGCTCACTTAACTACAGTTATTCAGCAAGCTGCTTGGACGTCCACCCAGAAATTACACAACTCCAAGTCCTATCCTGCTCACACAAATACCCTCATATTGGAAAAAAGAAATTTATAAAGGCGCCAAATGTCGCCTGGCAAAATTTTCAATGTGTTTTAAATGTATCCATTATTTTCGAGTCCGGAGAAAACTAATAAATATTTTTGAAAAATTTAAACGCAGGATGAAAGATTACATTATTACTGAGGGCAAAAAGTCCCTGAAAACTTCTACAATGTTAATTTTAATATGTTATGTAACAGGGGTGAAAATAAAAAAGAAAAAATAGTATAATTTTTGATTGAAAATATTGCATGCAAAAGAAACTTTTTATTTATTCTAATAAATATTTCATTCTGACTTAAATGCTTTTTAGTTTTCTCAGGATTTGAAAAAAAAATGGATACATTTAAAACACAATGAACATTTTGACAGGCGACAACTACTATTACTTACCTTTTATAATTACGATTAGAAAACTATTCAAATTCAAAATAATTAGGATCAACTTCGGAATCCGAGTCGTCTTGAGGGTTAATAATTAGCGGTTGTGTCTCTACATAACCGCTAATTATTAAAACACAATTACGTTATCAAGATCCCACATTATTTGTTCTTCTTCTATTACATGTCTTACTGCATCTTTCCAGTTTTTTTTTGTAATATGTTGTAAAGACTTGTATAACAAATCACGTACAGCTTGTATTTTATATGACGTATTTTTTCTAGCCACATAACTTTTCATTTGTGCCCGAATGAGTTCAATTGGATTTATTTCGCAGTGGTAGGGTGGAAGTCTTAGGACTGTGATGTTTCGCCTTTCCGCCATTTTGTCAACTATGTATTTCTTGAACTTAGATTTGTGTTGCCGGGCAATTTTTAAAAGTTCTGCTTTTACCATTCCATTTTCGTAAGGCAGATACTTATTCCGCAGCCAGTCAAGAATATCCTGTTTCTTCCACGCAGTGGCTGGAAGTCTTTCTACTAGTCGTGAATGATAAGGTGCATTATCTGATACTATATCCGAATTTGATGGTATGTGTTCAATCATCTTCTCAAAATACTCTTCGAAAATATCAGCTGTCATCTCCTCGTGATAGTCTTTTGTACTTTTGGACTGAAATTCCAACAAACTATCCTTAACAAATCCTTTTTACTGTCAATGTGGGAAATTATTAATATACTGAAAGACACTTTTCACACCAGAAAGTGGGGAAATACCCATGGTACAATGAATACAAGGTATGATATTGCGCATCACAGCTAGCCATCAGCTGGCCTAGGAGTGTGACGTAGTCAAGACTGCTCTAAATGGCTCGAACCCATTAATACAGCTTAACGTACAAATTAATTTTGAAATTATGGTCAAAAAATGATCGAATTTTTTTTTAAATGTTTTGTTTTGGTTATGATTGAATAAAAATATATTTTCAGTAGCGTAAAACCTTTTCCTGGGGATTTAGGCGAAATATTTATTTTTGTTTTCATACATATACTAATAATATAAGCACTCTTTTTGTATGCAAATCCGTTGAAATTTAAAAATTTTGTGTAGAAGAAATACTGTGAATAGGTAAATAGTAGATTTAGCGTATTCTGATTCACTGTCACTTACAAGGCTTGTATAAAAACAAAAATTCGACAATTAATATCGAATATCAATGGTGACAATGCAAATTGCAAGTTATGAGATAATAAATATATTTTAAAGAGTCATCTATTTGATAATATGTATAAAAAACTGTGGATAATATCTGTAGACAGGATAAGTTTAATTGTAATATTGCAATAATTTGTTCTAAACATTTCAAAACTGAAGATTACCAAAGAAATCTACAACAGGAACTTTTAAATTACGTTTCTAAAAAGCGTCTAAAACTCAAACCTGGGCCCATACCTAGTCTTTATTTGCCTAAATCAAAATCGGCTACCCTTTCAATCAACCAAAAGAAACGCATACAAAGAGCGGAATACAGAGAGTCCAAAAAGTATGTTGAGCAGCTTCTTACTACTTCTAAGTCAACGACGTAAGTCTAAATCTGTATTTTTAATAATTATTAGTCATGAAAAATATAAAACATCAATGCATGAAACAATCAATTTTTATGCATAGAAAGGCATAAAAAAATTTTATGCATACTTTTCTTTTCAGTAGACATAATGGTTTACATTATTCTAAAAGGACGTTACTTACCTCTCTTCCTAAGAAAATGATAAATAAACCTCACATCAGATGCATCGCAACCATCTGCATGCATGGTAGCTAACATAAATTCACTACTTGTTTTAGTCTTAATAAAAATTTATGTAATTTTTCCAGTCAACTCAGAGTTCAAGCTCAAGAAGGATATTGTAATCAACTTAATATTGAAGATATACCTCAACATCTAAGTCAATAGGGTATGTTAATAATAATATTAGTCATGAAAAATAAAAAATATCAATGTATGAAACAATGAATTTTTATTGACGTTTCAATTTCCAATTCGGAAATCGTTCTTAAAATACAAACAGTAAATTAAACAAATTTTGTTTTTTTTGTTACATAGTGAAAAAATTCTTCTAATAATTTAATTTTATCTGACTCATTTATATTGACAATTCAGACATACATTATGCATTTTAAAGTAGACGACTTTAAAATGATATTGCCAATATTGTTGAGTTGCGCTCCTGGGACGACTTTACTTATAAGATAGTTCATTCGATTACATGAAATCAACTTTAACTTGAGAATATCCGTCAGAAAAAATCATAGCATGTAATTCGTCTTTAAAAAGACAAACACATGACATGATGACAGTAAAATTCTCCTGTTAGTGATTCCATAGTAAATTATGAGGGAAAAACCAGGAAAAAAACCTCATAATACTATCCCGACATTGTAAGTATTTGTTCGTGAATTTAGTTTACCTTCAACAAACATCAAAATTCTGATTTTATATGTTACGTTATATAAAAAATATAAACGATGTATCCTATATATGTTACTGACTTACTAATACTGGTATTTTCTTATTAATAACTTCCTCTTTCAATATTGGTAACCAGATCCTACTACATTCTGCCGAGGAATTTGCGACACAATTGGCCTCATTTAGCATAATTAGAGCCGCTTCTTTGATTTTTCTTTTTTTACCACAATTTTACATCACAATGTCGGGATAGTATTATGAGGTTTTTTTCCTGGTTTTTCCCTCATAATTTACTATGGAATCACTAACAGGAGAATTTTACTGTCATCATGTCATGTGTTTGTCTTTTTAAAGACGAATTACATGCTATGATTTTTTCTGACGGATATTCTCAAGTTAAAGTTGATTTCATGTAATCGAATGAACTATCTTATAAGTAAAGTCGTCCCAGGAGCGCAACTCAACAATATTGGCAATATCATTTTAAAGTCGTCTACTTTAAAATGCATAATGTATGTCTGAATTGTCAATATAAATGAGTCAGATAAAATTAAATTATTAGAAGAATTTTTTCACTATGTAACAAAATGAATTTTTATGCCTAGAAAGGAAAAGCATTATTTTCTTTTCAGTAGGTATAATGTTTTACATTATTTTAAAAGGAAATTACTTACCTACCTTTCTAAGAAAATGATAAATATATCTCACATCACATGCCTCACAATCATCTGCATGGATGGTAGCTTACATCAATTCACTACTTGTTTTAGTTTTAATAAAAATATATGTTATTTTTTCAGTCAACTCAAAGTTCAAGCCCAAGAAGGATATTTTAGTCAACTTAATATTGAAGATGTACCATTAACATCTAAGTCAATAAGGTATGTTAATAATAATATTAGTCATGAAAAATAAAAAATACCAATGCATGAAACAATCAATTTTTATACATAGAAAGGAAAAGCATACTTTTCTTTTCAGTAGGTATAATGTTTTACATTATTCTAAAAGGATATTACTTACTGATCTTTCTAAGAAAATGATAAATAAACCTCAGATCAGATGCATCACAACCATCTGCATGCATGGTAGCTGGTATCAATTCACTACTTGTTTTAGTCTTAATAAAAATATATGTTATTTTTTCAGTCAACTCAAAGTTCAAGCTCAAGAGGGATATTGTAGTCAACTTAATATTGAAGATGTACCATCAACATCTAAGTCAATAGGGTATGTTAATAATAATTCCAGTAGCAACTTGATTGTTTTCTAAAACTTATTTAAAACAGTATGCAGACTAATGTGCTTAATTTTTTAGGGTAAACACTAATCCTACCAATGAGGCTTTGGAACTTGCAAATTCGAAAGAAAAAATTAAACTTTTAAATGAACAAGTAGCTGAACTACTTCAGATAAAATCGGCAGTAGGGAAACTTTTTACACCAAAACAATTAAAACGTTTGCAAAACCCAAAAATTCGTACCGTATGGTCTGTGGAACAAATATCCCAAGCTATATCCCTACATTCTACTGGTAGTAAACAAGTACAAATACATACCGTTTATTTTTATTTATGATTAAACATTATAATAACATAATTTTATCATCTCTTTATAATTACTTTAATTAAATTAGCCAAATAATATAAGAAAAACTTAAAATTAAAAGTCTTTACTATACAACTATATTAAAATGTTGCGGGAATAAGCGGTCTTTACTACCTACGTCATGCGTGAAAGCGAACCGTAATCATCACAGCTATTTTCACTTTTGAGATTGCAGCCCTGAACAAGTCGACGGAACTGCACTTTTTCAGATTGTTGAGCCAGGAGATGCGTCTTCTGCATTATGGTTTGTAGCAACATATATTTATCCCCTCTCATAACGTAACCGAGATACAGTAACATTCTTATCTTATTCGTATTCATGATTTCCATACCAGTAGACCAACCTTCCATAAAGGCTTGCCTGGAGCTTAATATATTTTTATCTGACCACATTTTTTTTAGAGTATGACCTGAGTTTACCCACGTTTCATCCTGGTAGAAGATTGGCCTTCCTTCAGCCCGGAATTTTCGTATGGATCTTAGATAATTTCTTCTCCAACATATTATCTCCTCCCGGTCAATCAAATATATTAGAGTACAAGTTTTATATTAAAAAATGACCTAGTTAAACCTTAAAACGGAAAAAAAAAGATTAAGTTTATGCTATCAATTTAATCCTAATGTAGGTAATAAATGAAAAACTCAATAAATTATTAAATACTTCGGGATATCCTGATAACAATATAATAATATATTTTATGTAGCTAAAATAATTAAATTATATATTACATACTCTGCTGTTTATTGGCAATTACCGATGTGCCTTAAGCTAGTAGAAGTAAAAGTATGATTTGTAAATGATAATTTTCGCACACAGTATGTACTTACTTTCCTCATTAAATTGGTACACTCATTAACTTTTGTTTTATTTCTAACGAGAAGTATGTTAACTTGATGTTTAATATAGGTTTATTATATTGAACGAGGTAGAAATTTCATTTATGGCAATATTGAGGTCTCCTTTAATATGGGAACCGGGTCATTTAAAATTTCTGTATTCGGTTAAAAAGAGTGTAAGCCGAAATTGTAGGTCACTGCATCTTTCAAATTTACGTAATTTCTAAAAAAAAATGTACATATTAATAAAAAGTCAGATATATTTATACAATGATTCAAAGATATAGCAGGTAAGGTTATACGCCCAACCCGTATTAAAAAAAAGTGTAGAAATAGGACTAAGGGTATTATCTACTCTTTTAACTTTAAGCCTAAAAATATTAATGATCGACAATTACTAAACTAGTGTAATTTTGCAAGACAATAAAGCGGCAGCCGTATCGATATTTAGAGAGATAGTTTGAAGAGATACTCTGAAAAGAAGTACATGATGCTGGAGTAATGATCCAATACGAATCGATACAATAAATCTTATTCTACTTCTTGTGCTGTCTGTCGTTTAACGAAGTTTGCCGATCAGTTTTTTAAACTCTTTTTTATCTTTTGCAAAATGAAATATCTGTTGAGCACTCTATTATCATTTAGCAATTATCCAAATCTTTTCTCCTTCAAAAGTTAGAGGTTTTCATATGATGTTGATTTTTCAGTCAAAAGGTGGAGAGAAAAAAACACAAAGAAGGTGGCCACAGATGAACTGATGATGCTTTCTGATTAGAAAGCGAAACGTCTTCAATAAATAGATGAAGTAGCCACCTTCTTTGTCTTTTTTCCCTTCACTTTTTGACCGAAAAACCCACCACTCTTCAAGTGATCCTTAATTTATATTGGATTGACGGTCGTACTCCTTTTCTCGATATATGTATGTATATATATACAGATTAAACGAAATAAATTCGGAACATAGGAATATAATGTATTTCGGCTCAATTCTGCTGTAGCTGGTTGGCCAACAAAAGATTGTCAAATAATTATATTATAAAAAATCCCATACTTCAGCGGGCTGCTGGATTCTGAACTCATAAAAATTGAAAGCTACACATAAATCTACGATTTTATTATGCTGTCAAACCAGTTATAGTCCAGGAAATGTATCATTTCACCTCGCAATTTTTTCGTGCGGCGTGGATTGACTTGAAATTTAACAGAAGGTAGGTAATAGCCTAAGGATCAAAATCTATATCGAACCAAAGTGCGCCAAAGCCTAGGAGGTGGTTGCCACCCCATATCCGGGGTGAAAATTTTTTTTACGTTTTAACTACAGGTTTCGATTAGAAAAGTGATTCTAAACAAAAAATGTGCTATACATTTTTTTATAAAATGATATTTTTCAAGTTATTCGCGATTGAAAGTAACAACTTTTAGACGAAAAAATCCACGTTTTTAATCGATTTTTCGATTTCAAATTTGAAAGATTTAAAGTCAAATATCGGGAAAGTTATGCATTTTTGGAAGAAAACTCACAAAATCTTTTTTAAAGAGCATAAATAGACCTATCATAAAAAAATAAGGTCAATACCTCATTTTTTACGAAAAAATCGAGGAGAACAACACCCTAACCACCCCCATAATTAAAATCGATCTTCGCCATTCTGCAATTCCCTTTGTAGATGTATTGTTAATACGTCCAAGAAGTTTGACCCATTTAAAATGCTTAGTTTCAGAAAAAGTACAGCTTAAAGCGAGAAACGATTTAGAATTTCATATTTTTTACCCTTCTTTTTTTAAATATGCCCGAAAATACTGAATATATAAAAAAAATAAAAATTACCAAATTGTAGCTTTTTTAATGACTAAAATTATCCATTATTTAGATTTCTTGTACAATGAATATTTGGCGAGATATAGCCGTTTAAAGCATCGATTTACGATCAAGCACTATCTTTTTCGAGCCCTTTAAACTCACCCCATTTAAAAACCAAGGGTTCCAAAAAGATTTAATTCACAGATCCTTGTAGCTATTAAAAACCTCTACAAATCGTTTTTGAAGAAACATCTATCATTAAAAATTAAAGGAAATACGTTAAAAAAATCAGTTAATTTTTTTCCGGAAAATTCCATTAGTATAGTACAGTACATTTCGGAGCATAATAATCTACAAAACCGGTATATTAGCTAGTGGGGCGTTATACATTCGAAATTTTAAGCGTTCTTATTTTGAAATCCCATACAACAGAATAAAACATCTGCTCATATGTCTATGGCTTGGCAATGAAAATATCAGAGCAACAGAATGGTATTCCAAAGATGGTTTGTTATTACCCGTACGCATGAACAAACAACCTGCACCCGATAAATTTTTGAAAATTATTTTTTGCCAATGCAAAAAAGGATGCGGCGTTTCATATGGGTGCAGAAAAGTTGGTTTATACTGTAACTCTACTTGTTCTGGGTGCTCAGGTGAAGGGTGCAATAACAGTCCACCAATAATTGAGGAAGATGATGATGACATAGATCACGATGAAGATGTAATTGATTACGAATAAAATTAATATTATAATTGTTTTACCTATAAATGTAAATATTTTCAACTATTTATGTAAATGTATAAGAATATATGGTGCCTTTTTATGTTGATAATTTTTTTTGTATTTAATTCTACTTTTTTCAATTTATATCTTATAAATTAGTTTATAAAAATTGCAATGTTGTAAAGGGTAATTTTCTAAAGTTGAAAAGTTGCAAAATTTTGGCAAAAAATTGTTTTCACCTATAGCACTCATAACAATTGATTTTTAAGGGTTGAAAATGTATGAATTTGTATTTTAAAGTATAAAAAACTCACTATTTAACTAATCCAAACCAAATTTCACTCATCTTAGGATTTGTAATATTATTTTACAATTTTTGAAAATTAGGGTAGTTTTCACCCCTAAGAACAATCAGGGTTCATCGGCATGACATAAACTATAAAGCAGAGGGTGAGTTAAGCTTAATTCCAAATTTTTATGCAAGTCGTTCCAAGGTGAAATCATTTTCTTCGCATTACTAATTTTTTTATATTAATCTCTAATGAGGGTGGCTTTTTAAGGGTTGAAATATGATGGAACTTTATTGAAAAGCACGAAACTATCATTATTTAATTAATTCAAACCAAATTTTACCCATATTCAGGTTTAATATGTTATTTTATAATTTTTGACAATTAGGGGTAGTTTTCACCTCTAAGAACAATCAGGGTTCGTCGACATGACATAAACTATAAAGCAGCGGGTGAATTGAGCTTAAATCCAAATTTTTATCCAAATCGATCCAAGGCGAAATCATTTTTTTAGAATTAGTAATTTTTTACATTAATCTCTAACAAGGGTTGCTTTTTAAGGGTTGAAATATGATGGAACTCTATTCAAAAGTATAAAATAATCATTATTTAATTAATTCAAACCAAATCTTACCCATATTCAGGTTTAATATGTTATTTTATAATTTTTGACAATTAGGGGTAGTTTTCACCCCTAAAACCCTTCAACGCACTTCGGTTCGATATAAATTTTGATCCTTGCGCTATTACCTACCTTCTGCTAAAATGTCAACTGGATAAATGCAGGACGAAAAAATTGCGAGGTTTTAACTTTTTTCGAGCTTCAATTCCTGAACTATTATCGCCTCCTTAGACAAACCCGTCTTACGCAAACAACTTTGTTGCGAGACAGATAGTTGAACGATATTTTATACAATGTCTATACCCAGGTATGGATTTATTTTTGTCCAAGTTTTATATTGGTCCACTATTTTAAATGCAGTTCAAACAGACATGTATTAAATTGTATGTTCCGTTTTAATTTGGTTCAATCTGTATATACAATTATTTTCAAGAGCTGCTAAAAATACAAAATATCTTACAAAGTAAAACTAAAAAACTAAATTTTAACTCACCAAATAAAATTGGTTTTGTTAATAAATCTATACTGCTAAACATGTTTACAAAACTATTTTAAAAAATTGGATTATCCAATGAATGTTTCTCTAAATTTTGTAATTTTGAAAAACTTTTTTAACAAAAATAATTGAATTTATAAATAAGTTAGAATTGCGACCAATTACAAATAAGCCTCAATGTCATGAATGCCAACTTATAATTTTCATTTTTATAAATTATATTGTCATAAAATAAAATTTTGTTTAAAAAATTCTTATGTATTTAGTAATAAAAAAGAAGATTTATTCATCATTGATAGATGTCTGAAAAATGTAACAAGTATATGGAAAATTAAATTAAAATGTGATATTTTAATGGTTTTATAAGTAAATTATAGAGAAATATTATAATTATAAATTTTGCTTAGATTTTGAATTGTTGATCTTTTGTTTAAATTATTATCACTTCTGCTAATACAAACCATTTCTAAAAAAGTCCTTTTGAATTTATTACTTTCATTACATAAAATTTTAATGTTATTTAAATCCATAATATGATCTTTCTCGATTACATGCTCTGCTAAATCACAAGATGGTTTTTTAATTTTACAGTCACTTTTGTGGGAACTAATACGGTTTGACAGATTTCTTCCGGTCTCACCAACATACATAGCTACACTGAGTACAACTACGGTCCGTCCCAAACCCTTTTTTCAGTGCGTCATAGTTGTTCGAATTCTCTCTAACGCATTAAGCTAGAAGTGACAGAAAAAAACGTGAGTCGCTTATTATTATACATAGAAATTAGAAAATTAGGTATCGTTTACGGGTATTCGCATATTAAAGCGAATTCTACTTACGAACGTATAATTGGTTGGAGTTTAGAATATGCTAAATAGATATCCAATCAATTATGCATATAAATATAATTTGACACAGATGATCTTGATAA